CAACAGCAAATATCAATAAAACTAAAAGCTGGTTCTTTGAGAAGAGAAAAAAAATGATAAACCTTTAGCCAGACTCAAGAAAAAGAGGGAGAGGATTCAAATCAATAAAATTAGAAATGAAAAAGGAGAAGTTGTAACAGACACCACAGAAATAAAAGCATCCTAAGAGACTACTACAAGCAACTCTATGCCAATAAAATTGACAACCTGGAAGAAATAGAGAAATTCTTAGAAAGGTATAACCTTCCAAGACTGAAGCAGGAAGAAATAGAAAATATGTACAGACAAATCACAAGTAATGAAATTGAAACTGTGATTAAAAATCTTCCAACAAACAAAAGTCCAGAACCAGATGGCATCAGAGGTGAATTCTATCAAACATTTAGACAAGAGCTAACACCCAACCATCTCAAACTCTTCAGAAATTTGCAGGGGAAGGAACACTCCCAAACTCATTCTATGAGGCCACCATCACCCTGATACCAAAACCAGACAAAGATATTACAGAAAAAGAAAATTAGAGACCAATATCACTGATGAATAGAGATGTAAAAATCCTCAACAAAATACTAGGAAACAGAATTGAACAACACATTAAAAGGATCATACACCATGATCAGGTGGGGTTTATCCCAGGGATGCAAGGATTCTTCAATATAGTCAAATCAATCAATGTGATACACCATATTAACAAATTGTAGAATAAAAATATGATCATCCCAATAGATGCAGGAAAAGCTTTTGACAAAATTCAACACCCATTTATGATAAAAAGTCGCCCAAAAGTGGGCATAGAAGGAATCTACCTCAACATAATAAAGGCCGCATATTACAAACCCACAGCAAACATCATTCTCAATGGTGAAAACTAAAAGCATTTCCTCTAAGATCAGAAACAAGACAAGGATGTCCATTCTCACCACTGTTATTCAATATAGATTTGGAAGTCCTAGATACATCGATCACAGAAGAAAAAGAAATAAAAGGAATACAAACTGGAAAAGAAGTAGTAAAATTGTCACTGTTTGCAAACGACACGACACTATATATAGTGAATCCTAAAGATGCCACCAGAAAACTACTAGAGCTAATCAATGAATTTGGTAAAGTTGCAGGATACAAAATTAATGCAGAGAAATCTCTTGCATTCCCCTACACTAACAATGAAAGATCAGAAAGAGAAATTAAGGAAAAAATCCCATTCACCATTGCAACAAAAAGAATAAAATACGTAGGAATGAACCTACCTAAGGAGTTAAAAGACCTGCACTCAGAAAACTAGAAGACACTGCTGAAAGAAATCAAACATGATATAAACAGATGGAGGTATAAACCATGTTCTTGGATTAAAAGAATCAATATTGTGAAAATAACTATACTACCCAAAGCAATCTACAGATTCAATGCAATCCCTATCAAATTACCAGTGGCATTTTCTACAGAGCTAGAACAAAAACATCTTAAAATTTGTATGGAGACACAAAAGACCCCGAATAGCCAAAGCATTCTTGAGGGAAATTAAAAGAGCTGAAGGAATCAGACTTCCTGACTTCAGACTATACTACAAAGCTACAGCAATCAAGACTACATGGTACTGGGAAAAAAACAGAAATATAGATCAATGGAACAGGATAGAAAGCCCAGAGATAAACCTACGTACCTATGGCTAACTCATCTATGACACAGGAGGCAAGGAAATACAATGGAGAAAAGACAGTCTCTTCAGTAAGTGGTGCTGGGAAAACTGGACAGCTAAATATAAAAGAATGAAATTAGAACACTCCATAACACCATACACAAAAATAAACTCAAAATGGATAAGAGATCTAAATGTAAGATCAGACATTATAAAACTCTTAGAGGAAAACATAGGCAGATCATTCTATGACATAAATCAGAGCAAGATCCTTTTTGACCCACCTCCTAGAGAAATGGAAGTAAAAACAAAAATAAACAAATGGGACCTAATGAAACTTAAAAGCTTTTGCACAGCAAAGGAAACCATAAACAAGAGGAAAAGGCAACCCTCAGAATGGGAGAAAATATTTTCAAATGAAGCAAATGACAAAGGATTACTCTCCAAAATTTACAAGCAGCTCATGTAGCTCAATATCACAAAAACAAACAACCCAATCCAAAAATGGGCAGAAGACCTAAATAAACATTTCTCCAAAGAAGATATACAGATTGCCAACAAACACATGAAAGGAAGCTGAACATCACTAATCATTAGAGAAATGCAAATCAAAAGTACAATGAGGTATCACCTCACAGCAGTCAGAATGGCAATCATCAAAAAATCTACAAAAAATAAATGCTGGAGAGGCATTTATTGGAGAAAAGGGAAGACTCTTGCACTGTTGGTGGGAATGTAAATCGATATACCCACTAGGGAGAACAGTATAGAGGTTCCTTAAAAAACTAAAAATAGAAGTACCATACAACCCAGAAATCCAACTACTGGGCATTTACCCTGAGAAAACCATAATTCAAAAAGAGTTATGTTCAACAATGTTCATTGCAGCTCTATTTACGATAGCCAGTGCATGGAAGCAACCTACGTGTCCATCGACAGATGAATGGATAAAGAAGATCTGGCACATATATACAATGGAATATTACTCAGCCATAAAAAGAAACAAAACTGAGTTATTTGTAGTGAGATGGATGGATGTAGAGACTGTCCTACACAGTAAAGTAAGTCAGAAAGAGAAAAACAAATACCATATGCTAACAGAGATATATGGAATCTAAAGGAAAAAAAGTTTATGAAGAACCTAGGGGCAGGACAGGATTAAGGACACAGACGTAGATAAAGGACTTGAGGACACGGGGAGGGGGAAGTGTAAGCTGGGACGAAGTGAGAGAGTGGCATGGACATATATACATTACCAAATGTAACATAAATAGCTACTGCAAAGCAGCCACATAGCACAGGGAGATCAGCTCAGTGCTTTGTGACCACCTAAAAGGGTGGTATACATAGGGTGGGAGGGAGATGCAAGAGGGAGGGGATATGGTGATATATGTATATGTATAGCTGATTCATTTTGTTATACAGCAGAAACTAACACTGCAATGTAAAGCAATTATACTCCAATAAAGGTGTAAAAGGAAAAAAAAAAAAAAGAAAGCCCAGAGATAAACCTACACACCTATGGTCAACTAATCTATGACAAAGGAGACAAGACTATACAATGGAGTAAAGACCGTCTCTTCAATCAGTGGTGCTGGGAGTAATGGACAGCTACATGTAAAAGAATGAAAATAGAACACTCCCTAACACCATAAACAAAAATAAATTCAAAGTGGATTACAGACCTTAATGTAAAAGTGGACAGTATAAAACTCTTAGAGGAAAACCTAGGAAGAATACTCTGACATAAATCACAGCAAGATCTTTTATGATCCACCTCCTAGAGTAATGCAATAAAAAAGAAAACTAAACAAATGGGACCTAATGAAACGTAAAAGCTTTTGCAAAGCAAAGGAAACAACAAACGACGAAAAGACAACCCTCAGAATAGGCGAAAATATTTGCAAACGATTCAATGGATAAAGGTTTAATCTCCAATACATATAAACAGCTCATGCAGCTCAACATTAAAAAAACGAACCCAATACAAAAATAGGCAGAAGATCTAAATAGACATTTCTTCCAAGAAGACATAGAGATGGCCAAGACGCACATGAAAAGCTGCTCAACATCACTAATTATTAGAGAAATGCAAATCAAAACTACAATGAGGTATCACCTCACACCTGTTAGAATGGGCATCATCAGAAAATCTACAAACAACAAATGCTGGAGGGGCTGGGAGAAAAGGAACCCTCTTCCACTATTAGTGGGAATGTAAATTGATACAGTCACTATGGAGAACAGTATGGAGGTTCCTTAAAAACCTAAAAATAGAATTACCATATGATCCAGCAATCCCACTACTGGGCATATACCCAGAGAAAACCATAAATCAGAAAGACACATTTACCACAATGCTCATTGCAGCACTATTTACAATAGCCAGGTAATGGAAGCAGCATAAATCCCCACAGACAGACGAATGGATAAAGATGTGGTACATATACAAAATGGAATATTACTCAGCCATATAAAGGAATGAAATTGGGTCATTTGTAGAGACGTTGATGGATTTAGAGATTGTCATACAGAGTAAGTCATAAAGAGAAAAACAAATATTGTATATTAATGCATATATGTGGAACCTAGAAAAATGGTACAGATGGACCGGTTTGCAGGGCAGAAACAGAGACACAGATGTAGAGAACAAACGTATGGACACCAAGGGGAGAAACACGGGGGGGGGGGGGTGGGATGGGTTGGGAGACTGGGATTGACATGTATACATTTATATGTATAAAACAGATAACCAATAAGAACCTGCTGTATAAAAAAATAAAATTCAAAAATAAAATTAAAAAAAATAAAACAGAAAAAAAAGTTATTCCCTTCCCATAGATGTATTAATATGAATGAATTATTTCCATGCTTATAACTATAAATACAAAAAAGAGGAATAAAATCTACCTTGAAACAAAAAAGAAAAACCGAGAACCCACCAGTTATACAGAGGAAACCCCTATCAGGGCACTTGCTCCAGTGGTAAACAATTCTGAAGTTGGTCAGAGGTGGGGAATCGTCTCCCATGCAGCCAGCAGTCCCCCCGCAAGGAGCGTCCTCATGGCAAAGCCGGGGGACCGTGCCGAGGCGTCTGTGAGTAAACGTGAACTGAGCCCCAGGCCAGCTGCTGCTGAACTGTTCCCACCCTTCCCAGGTAAAACACCTGAATAGGATAGGCACAAGGACTTGGAAGCCTAGAGGAAGGGCCGTGGAGCCACACCAGCCACAGCACGCAGGCCGACTTGGTGCCTGCAGGCCAGCCAGGATGGTCCTGGCCCCGGGCGCTCTTCTGGAAGCTTTCCATTTCCCTGCCTGAGATACCTCTCCTGTCCCGGCCCCCAGTGCTTTTTACCTTCCTCACCTCTGCCTGGGGAGAAATTCCAGCGGCAGGTATGCGTGACACATCCTCTTCTTTAGCAGGTGGCAGCCTGGCAACTCCTGCAGAAAGTCCAGCAGAGCCCCACTCAAACCGGGCCACCCACAAAGCCGTGGCCCCTCACTTCCTCCCACCAGCCCAGCCCCGAGACTGCTGACGGGGCAGAGAATATGGCGTCAGGCACAGCTGCAGGAGATCTTGCTGCCTGGAGCAGTGTTTATATTGACCTCAACCCAGGCACACCTGGGGAGGGCTGGCCAGCCGGGTCAGGCTGCCCAGGTCAGCCAATTCTCACCCCTCAGGGGCTCACATTGCAGAAACTGGACCTTGCTGAACCGGCCACGTCCAAGGAACAGGTGTGGGCTCCTGAGAGTCAGGATAGACAAGGGGCTGCAGCTCCAGCTTGTTTTTGAATAATTTTATCTGGCCCATGAGTGGGAGACAACTTCAAGAAGACCCTCCCCTAATGAGAGGAACCCAGGAGTCAGGGAGAAGAGGGGTGATGGGTGGAGACAGAGGCCTGGTGCCCCGGCTGCAGTGGAAGTCTCTGGAACACCAGGCAGAGGGGTCAGCAGAGTGATGCCCAGTGTCACAGACCTGTTGGAGCTGCTGTTTGTTAGTTCAAGTCCTGCTCTGAGGTGCTCGGTGTCAGCTCTGACCGACAGGTGAGCTGGGAGTGCTCTGCAATGAGGGCTATGTGCACGGTTCCTGTGTGCCCAGCCCTGCCAGTGTACGTTCCCAGGAGAGCTCCGTATCCTCGGAGGGGCCTGACCACAAGAGCCCCGCGGGCTGCTGGGGACCTACACAGGTGAGCTCCATATCCTGGGAGGGGCGTGACCTCGAGAACCCCAGTGGCTGCTGGGTACCTGCCCAGGTGAGCTCCATATCCTGGGAGGTGACTGACCACCATAGCCCCATGGGCTGAGGGGGACCTGCCCAGGTGAGCTCCATATCCTGGGATTGGCCTGACCACGAGAGTCCCGTGGGCTGCTGGGGACCTGGTAATGGATGTCAGGACAGTCAGTGAAGCCACCGTGGATATACATCCAGTAGTTCCTAATTCCTACACCCTGCTGGTCATTCTACCATCCACCAGGACATGGTATTCTCTATTAGAATTCAATGATGCCTTCTTCTGTATTCCATTAGTCCCAGAGTCACAAGAAATTCTGGCTTCTGAGTGGCAGGACTCAACATACAACAAAAACAATACTGTTGGGGCGTCCAGCCCCAAGGGTTCAAAAATTCCCACACCATCTTTGGGGAAACGTTAGCTAAAGACCTAAAAGTTCTACCTCTGCAAAAGGGAACCCTCCTTCAATATGCAGACGACATTCTGATCGCCAGCCCTACTAAGGAGGCCTCTGAACTACCTAGCCAATAAAGGATAGAAGGTGTCCAAGAAAAAGGCTCAAATATCACAGACTAAGGTGACCCGCCTGTTCTTCATTCTCACAGAAGGTCGGAGAAACCCATCCCAGGAAAGGGAAGAAGCCATTTGCAGCCTTACCCCTTCTAAAACTTGAAGACAGCTTAGGTGTTCCTGGGGAGGCCGAGGATTGCTGCACCTGGATCCCTAACTACAGTCTAATAGCTAGCTGGGCCTCTATATGAAACACTGAAAGGAAAAGATGATGATACTTTCGAATAGAATCCAGAAGCGGCCTTTCAAGAATGGGAAGAGCAGTCAATTCAGACCCTTGCCCTGGACCTCCCCAATTTAGCTAAACCCTTTGGCCTTTACATTCCCGGTCAAAGGTGAATCGCCCTTGGAGTATTAGTGCAAAAACTGGGACCACTTGAAATGGAACAACGCAAGAATGCCCTCCAGGTGAGAAAAATTACAGTCACCAAGGGATTGGCCAGCCGCCCCATCGGGCCAGGGTACTGGGGGTATCTAAAAACCTGGAAATCAGCAACCTGCAAGGCCAGCTCCCTCTTAAGGGAAAAGGACCCCACGTGGTGATCCTAACCACCCACCATGCCCTGAAGTTGCAGGGGTCGCTCCGTGGGCACACTGACCTCGAGTGTGGAGGCCCTCCAACTCCAACCTTCAGAGAGACAACCGGTGGCATTGGACCCCCATGACGACTCGTGTGACCATCACGTGACCTGGAGCTTCTCTCAGAAAACAACAAGAGTGTGCCCCAAAGGAGCAGACTACTGCTTGCAGGACTTACTGCACCCAGAGGGGAGCTAATAAGCTTGGCGGGGGAACCGTATATCACGCTGTCACCATAGAAAAGCCTACAGACACCGCGGTGATGGTGGCCAATAAGACCGGCTGGACTCCTGGCTACTTCAAAAGGCCGTTGACTCAGTGGCCGTCATGGTCCTGGATCACCACCCACCCTGGACTGTCTGGGAGTTGAGCGGGCAGGGCTCTGACACCTGGTGCTGTTTGTACATTAATTCAGGAGCCTAATTGAAGAAAGCGCAGACTACTGGTCAGAGCATCTAGGCTGGCAGAAACCGTCAGCCTAAGATGGCCGAACAAATGTGGAGCGGGGTAAAACCGCCCCCCGCCCCAGCGTCTCTGCGCATCTCTTTCCTGGACCCTTAAAGGTCATTAGAATCTATAACACTTCCGATGCTGGTGCTCAGGTGACGAGCAGTGAGGCAGGAGGCCTGGGGACAATCAACCTCACCTGGAGGCTGCTGGGGAGAAGTTCTGCCCCTCCCCGCCCCCCGGGTATGAGGACTCCCAACTCGGCATGAAGCAGTTACAGAAGAGGGCTCTGCACCCTCAGTGCCCCAAGAATGAGGAATGGGACAAAAGGCAGAGGAGGGGTTTGTTACCGGCAAAGCCCATGAAAACTTCCTGGGAGATAAAAATAGAATCTGGGCAATAAAATAAAGTCTAACCTCTTTTTCCTTTGTGCTTTGTCTAATTTCACGTGCTTCTAGGGTTCCGCATGCAGAGGTCCCACATCCGGCACTTCAGACACGATTTCCTAGTGTAGAATGGCTGGGTCGACACCTCAGCTCGCGGGGCCCCGTGCAGACTCCGCGACATAGAGCCTGAGCTGCAGCCAACCGGCCCTCGAGAGCTCCGCCCCCTCCCTCCCACTGACGCTGCCGGGATCCCTACACAGCAGCCTCTACACAGCAGCCCGACCCACAGCCCGTGGGGGTGCTCTCGCTCTCACCTCTCCATTCTCTGATCAAAATATAAAGTTTCCTTTGCTTCTGAACCAAACTCAGTCTCGATCTGTTTTCTCCAATGACACTGGGCAGGGGGACCCTTGTTGGGGCCCACTCTGGAGGATCAGTAACCAAAATTGAGAGCATTGTAACTTCAATGAACAGATGTGTGAGCCAAATTGTAATTAACATAGAGCAGTGTATAAGGCTTGGGTAAAATCAGACGTTTCTAACACTTCCATTTGATATTTCCATCACTTTATTATAAGCAAGTTCAGTGAAGAGGTTTGTCTTATTTGTCAGGTCAACATTAGAGAAATGAAGTGATTTCTTTCCAAGGATGTACATCTAATAATCTTGGCTAAAGCTTCAATCTTGTTTAGAATGCTTTTCCATTGAAAATGCTACCTCTCTTTCAGCTCCCCCATTTCTGAGAAGTATAAAATCTTATAATTTATTATTACCAAAGGGGAAAGGTGGGAGGAGGGATAAATTAACAGTTTGGGATTAACACATACACATTGCTATGTATAAAATAGATCACCAACAAGGAACTACTGTATAGCACAGGGAACTACACTCAATATTTTGCAATAACCTATAAGGGGAAATAATCTGAAAAAGAATAGATATTTTTATCAACATCATCTATCAACGACAGATAAAATGTAACCTAAGGGAAGCCGATGGTGAGCGCTTCTGACCCTGAAGACTTCAATCATCTGAATTTCGGACTCTGCCTACTTCCCAAGGCCCTTAATGAACATACGTGGAGCCGTAGCTTAAAAATTCCAGTTTGGGGTTCGGGGAGACACTGATTTGAAAAAATCCCTGGTGTTCTCCTTACATGCACAGGACACTTCCTACTGCTAAAACATGCCTGTCAGACCCAGAGGATGGTAGACCGTCTGATCGGGAAGAGTTTGGAAAAGGCATCTCATCTCCTCATCTCTTGGTGCTCGGGTTCACCCCTCCAGCGTCTTTCCTAACAATCTCCCCACTTGGGGATGTCAGCACCGTCAACATCCTGCTGCACACAGTTTGGAATTTGTCCAGAGGATGAAGCTGAAGGATGAGAAACAATGAGACACAAGTCCTAGGTGTTTGGACAGGCACAAGTCACTCTAATTTCCAATCCGGAAGACGTACTGACCAAAGACTAAGATTACCCACGGAAACAGAATAGGGCTTGAGGAAATCCTGCTGTTTTGTGGCCAGTTTCCAAAAACGCAAGTTGAAAAATGGAACTCAGGGGCACTAAAATTCACGAAACTGAAGAGCTGAAAATATCTATCGTCAAAAAATGTCTTGAGGTAAGTCACCGAAAAGGACTTGTAAGCAAGGGGGAATGGCAGGAAAGGGATTTGAAGAGGTAGAAAGGACTCGCCATTAAAGCACAAGAAAAGGGGCTGAACATCGCCAACGATGCAGTTGGCCAAAAAGGGCATATGCGTTTTTTCTGAATATATTCAAGAAAAGGGCATATGCCCTTTTTAGCCAACCAAGCAGGTGGGCACTGGAAATCAATACTACAAAGTGTATCACTTCGCATCAGTCAGAAGAGCCGTCCTCATAAAGTGTAAACACCAGAAATGCAGGACAGGGCGAGGAGAAAAGGGAGCCCTGTGAGGCTGATAGTGGAAATGTAAATTGCCAACGGCCACTCTGGAGAAGTGTATTGTGTTTACTAAAACATCTAAAAAATGAGCTACAGAGCATAGGGCACTTGCACTCATGGGCGTATATCTTGGGAAAAACAAAAATCGACAGGACACAGGCACCCCAACATTTACCGCCTCTCTGTTTAAAAGAGTCTCGACTTTGATATAACCTAAATTTCCCTGGAGGGAAAAAATGGATAAAAGAGATGTGGTACTTATGTAGAGTGGAATATTACTCAGCCCGGAAATCAATGAAA